TTCTGACAGTAGCTTACCTGATAAATATATGTCTCTTGGCTGTCTTGGGAATGAAGACACTTGGAGAAGTTTGGTCGGGACATCCACCTAGTCTCGACAGACTGAGAGTATTTGGCTGTGTGGCCTATGCGCATATTAGGCAAGACAAGGTCGAACCTAGAGCTCTGAAATGCATGTTCATGGGATGCCCTGCAGAAGTCAAAGCTTATAGGCTATGGTGCCTAGAGCCAGGTCACAGGAGGTGTATCACTAGTCGAGATGTAATTTTCAATGAAGTAGAGATGGCTTTCAAGAAAACTGATGATGCTAACGAAGAGCTGGAACAGGGAGAGATTCCTGTTGAGGTGGAGCATATTGATGCTGAGTTGCGTACCCCAGATGAAGTCGAAGAAGACGTATAATATGTTATCAAAGATGAGGAGACTGATAATGACTACCTGCTAGCAAGAGATAGGTCGAGGAGAGTCATCAAGCCACCTCAGAGACTTGGGTATGCAGAACTTATAGCTTATGCCTTAATCTCTGCAAGTGAGGTTCTGGACGAAGAACCTAGAGACTATAAGGAAGTTATGAGGATTCGAAAGAAGACTGAATGGCTATGGATGATGAGATGAAATCTCTTCATGATAACAACACCTAGGAAATTATCGAGAAACCTACTAAAGCCAGGTTAGTCGGCTGTAAATGAATTTTCAAAGTTAAAGAAGGAATCGAAGGAGTAGCGTCGAAGAGATACAAGGCAAGATTGGTTGTTAGGGGTTTCACTCAGAAAGAAGGTGTCGACTTCAATGACGTGTTCTCTCCTGTTGTGAAGCACAAATCCATTTAAATGTTGTTTACCACAGTGGCACAGTTCTACCTTGAACTAGAACAGATGGATGTGAAGACTGCATTCTTGTATGGTGATTTAGATGAAACAATCCTGATGAGGCAACCTGAAGGGTATGTCGAAAAAGGGAAGGAAGATTATGTGTGCAAGCTGAATATATCTTTATATGGACTGAAACAATTTCCTCGGCAATGGAATAGAAGATTCAACAAGTTCATGACACGCATAAGTTTCATCAGAAGTCAGTTCGACCACTGTGTTTACTTCAAATTTCGACCGGGTAATTCATTTTTTATTTTGTTGCTCTATGTGGATGATATTTTAATAGCAAGCAATAATGTCGAAGATGTAATGAGGGTGAAGGCTGAACTCAATAAGGAGTTCGATATGAAGGATCTGGGAGTTGCGTCCAGGATTCTTGGGATTCACATCCTAAGAGATATAAAGTAGTCGAGATTATGCTTATCTCAAGAGGCATACCTACGGAAGATTCTCGAAAAGTATGGTATGTCGAATTCAAAGCCTGTTGTGACTCTGACAAACACTCAATTCAAGCTGAGTATAGATCAGTGTCCCAGCACTGATGTTGAAAGAACTTATATGAATAGAATTCCATATGCTAACATAGTAGGTTCTTTGATGTATACTATGGTTTGTACTAGATCCAACATAGCATATGCAGTAAGTCTTGTAAGAAGGTACATGGTGAATCTTGGAAAGTCTCACTTGCAAGCATTGGAGTGGATTTTAAGGTACATAAATGGGTCTCTGAATAGAGTCCTAATTTATGGTGGAGCCTTGGGTCAAGATAGTAAAGCAGCAATCGAAGGATCTGCCGACTCTGATTATGCAGGTTGTATGGATTCTAGAAAATCTATTTCTGGATGTGTTTACTATGTTTGGGACAACAGTCAGTTAGAAAGCTACACTTCAGAAGTTCGTTGCCTTATCAACCACTGAAGCGGAATATATCGCCCTAACTGAAGCTGTGAAGGAAGCATTGTGGCTTGAAGGTTTTGCAAAGGAGCTAAAACTTCACGGTCGAGTTATCACTATTAAATGTGATAGTCAAAGTGCAATACAACTGTCGAGGAATTCAGCCTATCATGAGAGAATCAAGCACATTGATGTAAGGATGCATTTCGTCAGAGGGGTAATTGAGCGTGGAGAAGTCCAAGTGCTGAAGGTTTCAATAGATCATAATGATGCTGATATGATCACCAAGACATTGCCTAGTTGCAAGTTTTTCCACTGTATGCAGTTGATAAAGATGCATGAAGAAAGCTAGTTTCTTGGTGTTATAGAGTTAGATCCAAGGTGGAGATTTGTGAGATGTTGGATCGAACTCTAGTATGGTCGAAGGGTAGCTTCTGGTTTGACAGGAATTAAGCATGAGGTCGAAGTATGTTCGCATGCTGCTGTCGGAGTAATGCGTGTTGTAGTCGAAGTTTGTTCTAACATGCATTAGTCAATATTGCTAAGGTTGTTAGCATGTTGAATTAGGCCTTGCTTGTAAGCCCAATTGTTTAAGTTAGCTTGTATCCTAAGTTAGTTTGTAATGGGTAATTGTTAAAAAGTCCATTAGGTTAGTGTACTATTTTTCTTATAAATAGGATGCTAGTTTCTCAATCTTGGCATAAGGAAAAATAAGAAGATGAAATCCTAATTTCAAGAGCGAGAGGTTATATTGTTATTCTTGTATACTTGTAATCTTGTTCTAAGAATAAGGAAAGAATAACAGTTTATAACCAATCCTTATTGTTCCTTATTGTTTTACTTGATTTCTTTGTTAACCCTAACCCTTGTGTGTTTCTTGATCATAAAGAAATTGTTTATACTTTGTTTCAAGACATTCGATTCACAACAATATATATAATGTGACAGTTATGAATAATTTGATTTGGTTAAGTTATTATAGCGTTGTGGCGGTTAATGTAATTTTAGCTCAATTTGTAATTAGAAATTTTAAATGTTTAGTGTTTGACTGTGGATACATGTGGTTATTAGGGTTCAAAAAGTATACTGAAAGTATATGTTAGCATATGTCTCACTTTTGGTAGTATCCCAGAGTTTATATATATATATATATATATATATATATATATATATATATATATATATATATATATATATATATATATATATATATATATATATATATATATATATATATATATATATATATATATATATATATATATATATATATATATATATATATATATATATATATATATATATATATATATATATATATATATATATATATATATATATATATATATATATATATATATATATATATATATATATATATATATATATATATATATACACTGGGGTTATAAACCTAATAACCATTTAAAATTCCAAATTTCTTTTAAAATGTGCATTTTATTAATGGCGGTCACAACCGCTGCAATTAACCATTTACGAAATTTATTTTGAAATCTGCGTTACATTAACGGCAGTTATAATTGTCGCAATTAATCAATTACAAAATTTATTTTAAAATGTGCATCACATTAACGGCAGTTACAACCGTCACAATATTTAAGTTACGTCAGTTCTCTAACCGTCGTGAGAGAGAACAACAGTTGGTATGACGATTTTGACAACCGTCGCAATATAATCTTGCAATGTATGTTTCTGGGATTGAACTACAATTGTCGTAACATGCAATTTGCAGCAGTTCTATCCAACGTAATCTATCAAAATGAACCGTCACAATTTGTCAATTTTCTTGTCTTCGTTAAATTTAAAAGGTATTCAAATTTTGTTATTTATGTTTTTTTTTTTTAAAAAAAATAGAGAAAGAAGAAATTTAAATGAAAGTTAAAAAGTGTGAGAAAAGAAAAACATGAGAAAATTTTAAATTTTAATTAAGAGAAAGAAAAAGAATTAGTGAAAAAGTTAAAAGCAAAAAATTAAAAAAATGAATAAAGTGATAAAATGAAGGAATTTTAATTTTTTAATATTCAGTAAATACGAATATATTCTGTATACTTTAAAAAAAATTATATACAAAAAAATTTGATAGTACTAGTTTATTTTAATATTAGAAGTTATCTTTAATTGGAGTTTTTTTATGGTAATATTAAATCTTTTTTTTTTAAAAATAGAATATCATGAGTTCAACCTAAAATCTGCGGAAACCTATCTCTATACATAAACAAAACAAATTAAGCTTTTTTTAATACAACAATATCTTTAAAAAGAATATATACTTTAAAATTTATTTTCTGACAAAAAGTATTCGATAAGATTTACTGTACTTGAATTGGATGGTAAATATTTTTTTCCGACCACGATTACAGTGACGTCTTTTAAAATTTTTTATAATTGTATTTTACCTATTAAAATATTGTTAATAATCACCGTAAAACTCCAAAGTATTTAAATAAATATTTTTTATATAATTAAATAGAAGCTTTTACATAAGGGTAAAAACCTTAAACTCCGAAGTATTTAAATAAGTATTTTTTTATATAATTAAATAGAAGCTTTTACATAAGGTTAATAGTAACTCCTGTTTTAAAGGTATAAGTTAAAAAGTCAATTTATAAAAAGTTTGTATGGAAGGAAACAATAAAAAATTTAATTATAAATTTTTATTAAAATAAATACACAATTTTTAAAATTATATTTTTTATTTAACTTTTTATTTATATTCTAAAACACAAATTAACATTACTCTTTAAATAAATAAATACTTTAAAACAAATTACAAAAATTAATATAAAATATAATAATCAAACACAAAATTAAAAACACAATGCAGACTATATTTTATATCATAAATATACACTTTACATTTTAATAAAATATGAAGAAAAAAAAATAAAATATACACTTTTATAAATCAATCAGTATCTCGACACTTTAAAATATAAATTTTAGACTAACCTAGTTATAGTAAATTTGTATTGAAAAAAACGATTTAAAAATTAATTTTATATTTTATTAAAGTTTATATATAATTTCCAAGACAATGTTTCTTAATTTAGTTCTTAACATGTGTCTCAAGGGCACAAGTTAACATTACCCTTTAATAAAAATTCGTCAATATATTATTTTATTCCGACAATGATTACAGTGACGTCTTTTATTCATTCTATAAACTCCTTTCATCTCTAAACATTTCAAAATCTGAAATATTTGAGAAAAAAAAATGGAAGCAAGAGACAAACCAAAAACTCTAGAGCTAACAGTTTTATCAGCCCAAGATATCCACGTGAACGGAGAGCCAGTAACAACAGACGTCTTCGTCGTAGTTCGCGCCGAATCTACCACCGCCCACACAACACCGTTGAGCACCGTCGATAACGGCGTCCATTCATGGAACGAGAAGTTCACAGTGGAGTTATCGACCTACGCTAGGTCCATCTCGTTCGAGGTAAAGTACCAAACCGCAACAGGTGTAAGAGACATCGGTGTCGCAAGAATAGCGGTTTCGGATTTCCTCGGAGGTTCGGTTCCGGAAACTAGTTTGCAGTTTTTGAGTTATACTTTGAGAGACTGGAATGGTCTTCGTAACGGAGTTATTAATTTCTCCGTTAGGGTTGTTTTGGAAGAAGAAACTGAGGAGCACGTTGCTGCACATGGTGTTGTTACAGGCATTCCATGTTTGTGGAACAGTTGCACTGACAATGACAGGGTTTGAATTTTTTTTATGCTTAATTTGCTGTTTGATGTCACTTTTTTTTTCTTTTTTCTTTCTGAGAGTTTGTTATTCTGTTTCAGACGGTACCACGTACTAGTACCTTGTTTTTTATTTTTTTAATTTGCGAATCTACTTTATTTTAGCCTTTTTCTTTACATGTTTTATGAGTTACTACTACTTTATTTGATACGGATGGCTGATCAGACTTTGGTTCGCAGTATATTGAATGGTTTCCTTTGCGGCGAGAGCATATGATTTGTTATTATTTTGGTTTTTGGTTTGCTTATGTTGTCTATTGTCTTTTTATAACATTTATTTTGATAGACTCTTAATTGCCCTTTCTTTTATTACATATATTATATTTATTGTTAAAAAATTCTTATTTTGAATTATGTTTAGGGATCAATTTTGTTGATGTATATGTGATTAAACAGACAAATTTAATAAATATTTTATGTTTTACAACAAATTTGTTAACCATCATCCTAAATTTGCCTATCTAACACTTTTGTGTGATAAAAATTAACTCCAAAACAGACTAAAAAACAGAAAATTTTGAAACTTGAAAACAATTGATTTTTAAAATAAAAAATATTAAGACTTCATTTTCTAAATACAAATTTAAAAATGTTTTTATATGGGTCAAAAAGTATACGCGTGTTCCTTCTGAAAGGGCAAGAGAATTCAAAAGTCTTAGTAGGTATACTATATATTGTATAGTAGTGAGGATTTGTCAACGGCTGCGAAAAACATTGTACGATGGTGTTTTACGGTGGTTTTAGGAGTCTTGCTCAGGTAAGGTGATAGACTCTGTTGATGGATGATATGTTTAGGTATAAGTTGATGAGAGGTGTGATCAATGTGTTATGATCAAGCGATATGTTTTTAGGGTGTAAAGAATTATCCTTTCACCCGTAGAGGGAGAAGTATTTAAAGAGACCTCATGGGCCTAGGGTTTAGGTAACCTTAAATGGTGATAACTACTCCATTCTGATCAAAAGAGGTTGTTGACCACCTAACATTTCGGGAGTAGTGGTGGACTTCTTCTCTTGACTAACAACATTATACGTCATGAGTGTCAAGGGCGAGTCTTTTATGTCATCTCTTAAGCGATACTACTCTTAGGCGAGGGTGTCATATTTTGGGATGCTTACAAATATAACATTACACAGTCTCTCAAGAACAAGGGCTTTGCTAAGGGCAGAGTGTTTTTAAGACCCTTCTTAGTTTAGGACACGCCCTTCGCCCCATCAATGGGTTTTTGGTTCAACAACGACCTTTTAAGAAAAACGGACGAGTCTCTCGGCTTAAGGTGAGTATGTATTAAAGGACGAGTCCCTTAGTTGAAGGCTACTTACTATATTTAAAAGGTGACTCCCTGTTCCACTGACGAGTCCCTCGGCTGAATGCTAATATTTATTAAAGGGTGTGTCTCTCAGCTTGAAGGAGAGTCCTTCGGCTGAAGGTGATTGTGTTAAATGACTGGAATCTAGAGAGATGTTCCTATTTCTTTAGGTTTGACCTAAAGACATCAAAATGTCAATCACCACTAAAAACTTGAGTACTTTAGTAGGAAAAAGAGCATGGATGAAATTTAATGCACCCTATGATGATATTTCTTTGAAAAATAAATTTGTTCTATATTTCTCACACAAGTCTTCCAAGTGTAAAGACTTTCTCACTTCTCGTGGCAACTACCCCATTAGATGAATGTATGGCTTGTGCCATTGGGTTTTCCCTATATAATTTTGAAAACCCTTTTTTTTCTAATTCTCTTCTCATTTTCTTTTTCTAGAAGCACACCTGGGTGAAAACATTTCTTTCTTTTGCTTTTCTGCTCCAAATGATCATGTGAAAGAAAATCAAACTTGTTCATGTTCAAGATATTTCTTCCCCGTATTCCCCCGTGGATATGATTGAAAAGTTTCATCATGACATTAAATTTTCCAGTAGAGGTCGAGAGAGAGAGAGAGAGAGAGAGAGAGAGAGAGAGAGAGAGAGAGAGAGAGAGAGAGAGAGAGAATGTGATTATGGAACCTTGTTCGAAGGAGGAAATGGCTGACATGGATACTTTCGGCGAACCGTTCACCCCCTATTTTCATGTCCACCTTCCATTATTCATGAGTTGAGGGTCTTGATTTAGTTCACCTTTCTTGAAACAGAATTTCTAACAACCATTAATGATGCCCCTTCTCAAATCACCCCAAACGTGTGGGGAATTCTCAAGGCCTTTCAGATAGTATGTTGTAGTCTGGGTATGTCTCCTGTTGTCGAAGTGTTTCTTTATTTCTTTAGGACATAAATCCTTCATATCAATGGTTAGGTGAAAGTGCCCCTTTTTCCTGGTAGAAGTGTGTTGAAGCCCTTTCGCAAACCATTACGAGGACTAGAAAGACATATTTGTGTGAGTAAGGGGTGAGACCTTACTTCTTCCGTCACTACGAGGGCGATGAGTGATCTCCTCTTTCCTTTATCATGCTCCTCACATCTGCGACTTACTGAAAGGGTGGACCCTAGTGTTTTTTCTCCCCTTGATCGTGAAGTGGTTTAGATTTTGAGATGTTTCTGCCCTCTGGAGTCTAATATCTTCATCAAGCTGGATCGTGAAGATGTCGATGGAGTGGAGGCATATCTATGTATGAAAATACAACTTTCCTGGCCCCATTTTGTGTGTACTTCTATTGTTCTTAACGATATTTTTGTCTGTAGGGGACGGTATTTTTGTCTACAACGGACGATACTTAATCTTTCCCTCCTATCACTACTTGAAAAATAATGACCGTGAGTCAAACTTTATTTTATACCAACAGGGGAAGGGAAAACATCGACAAAACCCCAAGAATAAAGGATAAGATGGTCTCGCAACCAAATTATGGGTTCGAAAGTTGGTTATGCAAGGGGAAGGTATTAGCACCCCTTTACATCCATCGTACTCGATGGGAACCATTCGTTTGTCTTATGTGTAAGGATGTAGCTAAGGGTATCGCTTTCTAAGAGTGTTCTAAGAGGGAGAGTGAAGGGTTGGAAACAAAGATAAAAGAAAAGAAACAAGGAAAAGGAAAAGAAAAGGTGGCTCGCCAAGACTTCGTCGTCTTGTGTATACGTATCTTTATTGACCAATGAAGAATCAGAGCGTCTGTAGTTTGGAGGACTACGAGTGAGAAAATGGGAAGTTTGTTCGCCAAGACTTCACCGTCTTGTGCCTACGTACTCTCAACAGGTATGAGAAATCAGTGCGTTTGTAGTTTGAACTACGGGTTATTGGTGTTTTTTATGGACGATGCTAACGTTTGCGTTCTAGCAGTTAAGTGTATTGCTTCTCGCTCGTAGAGTCTTATACGTTACTTGTATTGCGGTAAAACAAACGTAACATGCCCTTTTTGAAAAGGTTAAGTTTTCGCCATCAATGCAATATGTCACATTTGATTTGTGATGATGGATTTTAGGAGTGAAATAAGTCCTCGGATAGAAACCCCTGCCGGTAGTACCCAATTCTTTAACTCAAAAGATTTATTTTGAAAATGGTGTGGTGGATATAGTTACGTCTCCGTATTGAAAGACGAGTATCGAAACCACACACTCTAAAGTAAGCATCCTAATACTCGGAGAGGAAGAAGTCTTCACTCAATCCTCTCTCTTTAGTTCAATACAAAGAGAACCTTATTATCTTATTTAAGGTGTTTTGATTTAGATGGTAAGTGCTTTGTGATAGTGAACCCTAAAGGTAGTATCAAGCACTCGGGATAGGACAAGGCATTCGCCTAACCACTCAACAACCATCCAAGTTTATTAAGAAAAGAAGTTTCAAAAATGCACTTGGCACAAGACCAAGGTTTTTGACTCAAGAAGAAAAGATAATGAAAGAAATGGAAATAGATGAAAGGGTGGTGAATAGAATAAGGTAGGTTGATAGCGATGTGCAAGGCGATCGACTTACAAGGGTGAAATACATACAAGGTTAGTGTGGGGTTTAATGAAAAATATGATAAGTGAGAATGAGAAGAGAGGAGAAACCCTAAGATGATGTGAGAAACAAAACCAAGTTGATAATTTTGAAAAGTGACTTGACGTTGGATTATGTTTTATTTGTCTTTTATTTTGAAATTGTTTTCTAACCTAGCTCATTTTATCTTTCTTAACAAGGAAGTAAGAAATGATGAGAGATAATAATAACTAAGCTATTACATTGTGATGGGGGGGGGGGATTGATAAACCCACCAAAGGGGAAACCTAATCTAAGGCATAAATGAAAATGAACCATAAAAGTACAAAGACAAGATTAAAAGTTCTAAATGCCCAAATATGTAAAGTTCCTCAAATGATACCTCACAAAACAAAGCACACGGGTTAGTGTATGAGGGGGTAATGTTGAAATGTATAAGATGCAAAAGGTGAAAACAAAGCATGAATATCCAAGATGAATCATGAGATCAATGACACATAAGCACGACCACTCAAGGTCAAACAAGAATGGAAGTCAAAAGAATCATAAAGTAGGAATCAAGATACGCCTCATAAGTCTCCAAATAGCATTTTATCATAACCACAAAAATAGGACCAAGGATAAGACTTAATCAAAGAAAGGTATCAAACACCAAATAAAGATTGAATCAAGATACGCACTAAACTCTAAATCACCTTTGTATGATTGAAACTAAGGCATGAAAAATTCAAATAAACAAAACTAGTGTCTAAATTATAAATAAAAATATATCCTCGCCCACAATCTCGAATCAAGGACAAATACGAACACCACGACACAACTGAAATCAAGTGAACAAGAAACTTTTACCTACAACGGCACGAAATATTGCTTAGGTATGACTTCGCCTAAACTTTGATCCTTTTCTTCTTCTTGCGTTTTTGCTTCCTCGATTTCCTTCTTCCCTTTCTTCAATCTTTACTCTGACAATTGTGTATTGTTTTCGTTGCACATTGTTTTCCTTGATGTTGTTGTATAAAATCAATTTTAGGGTTTTGAATTAAGCAGTCGCTCTGGT